CTGTAATAATAATAACTATTAATGATGCTGTTGTTGTTATTTATTTAATATTTATTTATTGAAAAAAATTACAAACATAATAAACATTATAAACATGTATTTTAATTATTCTAAAAAATAATTATTAAAATATAATAATAACAATTATTATTATTACTTTCACTAAATAAAACTATTAAACAAAATAAGAAATTACGACTGCAATATTTCACTATAAAATAGAGCTATTTAAAAATATATATATAATTAAAATAATTTAAAACTGCATTTAAATAGGACCCAGAATTATTAATTTCTTCATTAACAATTGAACTTTTATTTTGACAATAATAATAATAATAATATTTATTTTATTATTATTATTATTATTATTATTATTGCTTCTACTAAATAAAACTATTAAATAACTATTACTAGCATCTTGTTTCAAATATAATAATTAAATAAATAAAAATACATTTTATAATACAACCTTAATAATTACAATGGTTGTCATAATTTTTTCATTTTCAAACATTAAACAGTCGATTTATAATCAATTCTTATCACAAGTGACCCAAACTCGGATGCAGAGACGAGTTCATGTGGAGCAGCTGAAACTGAAGAGACTGTATCATGAGCTGCTCACCTTCAAACAAACACAGTGCCGCGCTTCACTTACAGTGGGTACGGAAAGTATTCAGACCCCCCTTAAATTTTTCACTCTTTGTTATATTGCAGCCATTTGCTAAGAAATCGCATCATATGACCCCTTTAATCGTGCAGCCCTACAAACACCACTCAGATTTTCTGCAGAATGCACAAATGCTGTTCTTTCCCTCTTTTGGCATCTAAAGCCAAACTCAGGCGTCGAGTCTCTCGTGTGTTTGTTTCCTCTCAGGAACATCGCGCGTGTGGTCAGTCAGATCCACGCGTTTCAGGAGCATCTCTATTCCTACCCTCCCGACCTTGAGCTGCAGGCGTACCTGCGTGAGCGACTCGCACGCTTCGGCAGGTGTGACATCCCGCTCCTCGCCTCCGACAACCACACCAACTTCATCCAGACGCCCGCCGCTCGCCGGATCCACGACACACTGCGACGTGTCAAAGCGTCTTTCCAGTGACCGGCACAGATGAGGAACGCTGCTGGAAGTCACATCTGGAGACTCCAGACTTCTCCGTTTGAGTGCTGAGGAGAAATGAAGATGCTCACAGTCGCTCTCTGTACGGAGGCTGAGGAGGAATTAGGAGTAAAACATTTTCCTGTAAATACTGTGAAAGCACAAGACATGGGAGTTTTAGTTGCTGGATTCCCTCATTTTAGGATGTGGAGGTGTTTTCTCATCTTTAACTTCAGCCTTAGCCCGTTTTGGTTTGATGGATGGTTTTCTTCAAAGAACAAATACTTTTAGTTTTGTGTTTAAGATTTTGGACGGCTAAACAACCAAATGTGACCCAGGACCACAAAACCAGTCATAAGGGTCAATTTTTCCGAAATTTAGATTTATACATCAACTGAAAGCTGGATAAATAATCTTTCCATTGATGTATGGTTTGTTAGGATAGGACAATATTTGGCTGAGATACAACTATTTGAA